CCCAGCACTTTGGGAGGCCGAGGCAAGTGTGAATTGCCCGAGTCCACGGGTTTGAGAACAGCCCAGGCAACTTGGTGAGACTCTGTCTCTATAATAACTCAAAAATTAGCCCAGTGTGGTAGTACACATCTGTAGTTCTGGCTACTTGGAAGGCTGAGGCAGAAGGATCACTGGAACCCAGCAGGTCGACGCTGGGATAGCCGTGAGCGTGCCACTGCACTCCAGCCTGGGCGACTGAGTGAGACTCCAACTCAAAAAAAAAAAAAAGAAAAAAAGGCCTGGTTTCTAAAAACAATTAGACAAGTTTGAATGCCTAAGAAGGAAAGGGTGTGAGGAATGCTCTCATCGTTCCTGTCTGCCTTTGCTCCCTTCCACCCAACTCCCTACAATATTAACATTGAACATTGAGCACTTTTCTGTGTCAGGCACAGTACAAAGGGTTTTGCATGCAGCATCTCATGTAAACCTCCAAACTGATGAGGTAGATTTGGTTGAATCTCCACCTTGCAGGTGAGGGAATCGGGCACACAGAGGTGCAGCTCCTTGCCACTGTTTCCACGTCTGTAAAATTCGACTCATAATAACATTTTCTCCATAAGATTTTTCCACTCAACTGGAAAGTAGGTTTCAAGAAGGCAGGAACTTTGTTTTATAAACTTCGATACCCTCAGAGCCCAGAAATGTGTTTAGCATTGAGTAGGCTCTTAGTAAATAGTTGTTGAATGAATGAATGAATGAGTCATGTTAGAGGTGAAGAAAGCACAATTTAGAGAGAGAGTAACTTGCTCAAGAACAAACAGCTAGATGTAATGGAACTCTGACTAGAATATGAATCGGGGTGTGCTGGTGGATGTTTAACAACAACTGGCTCTGGAAAAACAACACTAATAACAACCCTGATTTGTAGCTTTTGCTGACTTACATAGTGTAAATATTCTCATCATGGGTGATTTCTAGCTACCAACCTGACGTCAATCAGCTTGCAAATCTTCTGAAAACATAAACATGGGCTTTTGTAAGCCTGTCTATATAAGTTGGCTCCAGCACACCCTGAACTAGAACACAGGTCTGTTTGTGTCCAAAGGGTACACCTTTACAATGGTAGGGTAAGATTTTGTCTGTATCTTCTTGAACAATGTACAGACTATATTCATATCTAAGTAGTAAGGGAAAAGACACTCAAATAAATTTAGTTCAAAGCAGATTGCATAGGTAAACTTTACAAAGCACAAACCTAATCACAAAACTACCTAGCTTAGCTGGGCGTGGAGGCTCATGCCTGTAATCCCAGTACTTTGCGAGGCTGAGATAGGAGGGTTGCTTGAGCCCAGGAGTTTGAGACCCGACTAGGAAACATAAAGAGACTTTGTCTCTACAGAAAAATAAAAAAGTTAACTGGGCATAGTGGCACACACCTGTAGTCCCAGTTATTCGAGAGTCTGAGGCAGGAGGATCACCTGAGCCCAGGAGGTCAAGGCTGTGGCGAACTGTGATCGTGCCACTGCACTCCAGCCTGGGAGACAGAGTGAGACTCTGACTCCAAAAAACAAAACAAAACCCAGAAAAACTACCCTGCAGCTGGACTCGGTGGCTCAGCCTGTAATCCCGCGCCTTTGGGAGGCTGAGGTGAGTGGATTGCTTGAGCCCGTGGGTTCGAGACCCATCTGGGCAGCGAGATTTCATCTTTACAATAAAAAAAAAAAAAAAAAATCAGCTGGGCGTGGTAGCACATGCCTGTAATTCTGGCTACTTGGAAGGCTGAGGCGGAAGGATCGCCGGAGCCCAGCAAGTCAAGGCTATGGGTGGCTGGGAGACACCAACTCAAAAAAAAAAAAGAAAAACTACCCTACTTAAAACCTTCCCAATACTTTTAGTGTTAGGTCAAAATCCTAGCAGAGTCTCCAAAATGTTAGATCAGCCCCAATGGGGTTGGGTGAGATGGGGCAACTGGTCTGTGATCTGGTGCTGTGCAAAAAGATACAAAGAATTGCACAAAGTTAGATTTAAAAAATATAGTTTATTTAGAAAATAAATTGGAGAGAGAGAGAGGAGACTTACCACTCCAAGGTAGGGGAGGGGGCCAAAGCTTAGGAAAACATGGAGGCCATAGCTCAAAGAACACAGTAGCCTTGCCAGTGCTTAACAAGACAATGGTGATTGACTGCTTGAGGCTGAATGCCTTTTAAACCTTCCCTTTGATGGGGGTAGATTTGTAAGGTGATTGGGTGGTGGTCTGTTCACATCTGTTCACATCACTACGAAGGGGCAGATAAGCACAGGTACTGACATCTGGTGATGGACTGTAGGCAGATGGGTAGGTTAGTCACATGACTATTGCCATGGTGATGGGGTCAGTTTGTGTCATGAAGGTCATAAAGTGCTGATTAGATTAACTTGGTTTAGGCAAATGCTTGGAATAGAAAAGCTAATTAGTCCAAAACAAGTTGGGGTTGTAGAACAATTATCAACAGCTACCTCTGAGGAATCAGTTCTGTCCTTGACTAGAGGGAAAGCTGGGTAATGTTAAAAGAATATGACAGAACTAGACAGTGTTAAAATGTCTGCCTTTTGGGTATATCAACTTTATCTTGATTCTTTCAATTAGCATAAAATCCGGTCTCCTCCCCATGGCCCACAAGGCCCACCCACTTTACCAGTCACTGTAATAGACTTTGGGGATATAGTGGAGAATATGTCATACACAATCTTTGTCCTCATGGAGCCTGCAGTTCAGTAAATGTGACTGTCAGAAAACAGTCAACCGTTAAGTACAAAATTACAGATTGAGAAGTATAAGCAGTGGAGGAGGTGGCAGGGACGAGAGAGTTGGATGTGGTGTGGGGCTGGTGTCCACACAGAAGAGGATAGGTTTTCGCACTTTTTTTTGGTTTTGTTATTTAGTTTTTATTTATCTGCAGTCCAACTAGACATGGCAAGGAATAAGGAAAATATGGAACAGCACAAAGATTATAGGATGTTGCAAGCAAATGGGATGGACAGGTTCTCTCCTGAGCTACAGAAGGAATGGTCTAGTAGTTTAAGATAAAACAAGTCAAGTTTATTAGAGCTGTCCACAGTCGGCAATGGTGATCTTCTTCCTGGTCTTGCCATTCTCGGGCCCCAAATCCTCCATGACAGTGCAACATTCATGCCCTCTTTCACATTGCCTAAGCCCGCATGCTTGCCATTCAACCATTCAGTCTTAGTAGTGCAGATGAAAAACTGGGAACCGTTTGTGTTGGGCCCAGCATTTGCGATGGACAAGATGCCACAACCTGCATGTTTCAGGATGAAATTCTCATCATCAAATTTCTCCCCATAGGTGAACTTGCCACCAGTGCCATTATGGCGTGTGAAGTCACTACCCTGGTACATAAGCCCCGGAAAAGTTCTGTGAAAGCAGGAACCCTTATAACTGAATCCTTTCTCTCCAGTGCTCAGAGCACGAAAGCTTTCTGCTGTTTTGGAATTTTGTCTGCAAACAGCTCGAAGGAGAACATGGTCCAAGGCCTTGCCATTGACAGGGATGTCAAATAACACAATGGAATTGACCATGGCTGCTGGAAAAGGTCTCAAAGTGTTTGTTGTCTGCAAAGCCAGATTTGGCACTTTGAGGAATAAAAATTATGTCTGTATACCTGGAGACAGTGGAGATGAAATGGGAACTGTGATTATAAATACAAATGTGACGAGCAACAGGCTTATGGAGGGAGGTTTAACTCTCCTTAAAGATGGAGCCCTATTTAAGTCCAGGAAATCAGACATGCGTTGAATGATTCTTTTTCAATTATCGGCAATTTTCCCCTCCAGAAAACCTTTTTGTATTACCTGGGTAGAAACAAGATCATCCAGTTCCCATCAGGCCTTGCATAGGTGAACAGACAGAGAGGCTCAGAGAGAGAAATGAGATCACCAATACTTTCTCAGCCAGTAATAGTTGTACAGTCTTGGACAAGTCATTTGGAGCCAGCACTGTCTTATAGAAATATGAGTATAATGGGGGACTACAAATGAAAGACACATATATAACAAAATTTTCTACGTTTAAAAATAAAAAAAGAAACCGGTGAAATTAATTTTATAGTATATTTTATTTGATCCAGTATGTCCACAATATTTCAACATATAATCAATATAGGTCTTAGAAGTCCAGGACTGGGTGCAGTGGCTCATGTCTGTAATCCTAGCACTTTGGGAGGCCTAGGCAGGAGGATCACTTAAGGTCAGGAGTTCGAGATCAGCCTGGGCAACAAAGCAAGATCCCCTTCTCTACAAAAAATATTTTTTTTTGAGGTGGAGTCTTACTCTGTCACCCAGGCTGGAGTGCAGTGGCACGCTCACCGCCACCCCAGCATTGACCTGCTGGGCTGGGGCCATCCTTCCACCTCAGTCTTCCAAGTAGCTGGGCGCTACTGCGCCTGGCTAATTTTTAATTTATTGTACAGACGAGGTCTCGCCAAATTGCCCGGGCTGGTCTCGAACCTGGGGGCTCAGGCAATCCGGGTGGAAGGCCTTCCAAAGTGCTGGGATTACAGGCTGAGCCACTGAACCCAGTCCAGAAATTTTTTAAAAGGAAAGAAATCCAGTGTGCATTTCATATACATTTATGGCACGTCTCAATCTGGACTAGCCGTATTTCAAGCGCTCGGTAGCCACGTGTGGTTAGTAAGTATTGAGCCAGTAAAGTATTGAGCCCCAGGTTCCTCATCTGTGACATAAGAATAAATCTCTGGAGGCTAGACAGCGCTCGAGAAACACCCAGCATTCCGCCCTGGACATAGGGGGCGCGCAAGCAATGTCGCTATCCTTTAATCCTTTCTCTCCCTTCCCCTCCTTTCTCCAAGGCTCCGGCCCTTTCCCCGCCCTTCAGGCTCCGGGCGGAAGCAGTACTGTCGCAAATGCAGCACGCGATACGGTGGCGCTGCCTTTTACCGCGGTGTGGCCGGCTCTCTTGACGCGCCCTCTTCAGCCCCATTGGCTGTGCGGCCCCGCTCACGGTGCTTTACGGCAGTGTGGCCACAGCCGCCTTTGGGTTGCCCGCGGTCTGATAGCGAGTTCAGGGCGGCAGCGTACACCGTGTTGGCTGGGCCGGATACCATGGACGTGGGCGAACTTCTGAGCTACCAGGTAGGAGGGGCGGGGAGGGCCAGGGGAACGTTCTGTCAGCAAGGCGGGGGTCGCAGGGTCGGAGTTCCTTCTCAGCTGGTCCCACTCACTTCCCGGCCCTTTACTTTTCAGGCCACCCGGGGTCCCACCTCTCCTTTCACCCCACTCTCCCAGGCCCCCAGCCCCTTTCGACTCATTCCTTTCTAAGGCCCGACCCCTTTGCCTCCCCACCGCCCTGGCCTGGCTCCCTAAAGCTCCTCTGAGAGCTCCCCTTTCTCAGCACCAAGCCCCTTCTGCTGTCCTCTCCCCAGTCCTCGGGTGGCGGTGGAGGTAGTGGAGAGCGCTGGGCCCACTTGGATTGGACCCCGGCCTCTCCATTGACGGCTTTGGGACAAGTCACTTCTCCCATATTGAGCCTCAGCTTGTGTACCGATACACTGGAGACAGTAATAATGACCCAGGAGCGTTGCTGGGGGACAAGACCAACTCTTGGGTGTGAAAACTGACTTTAAGGTGTAGGGAACTGTGCCCGTGTTCCCTGCGGGTTTGGGAGATGTTTCGAATTCTCGCCTGGAACCGGTTCCTCGAAATCTTGTGCCTCTTACTCAGGTTATTTGTGGGAAAACGGTGGCCCAGAGAGCAGAAAAGACTTGTCCAAAGTCGCTCGGAAACTAAGAGCTGGGATTAGAGCTCAGGGGTCTTGACTCCCAGTCCAGAGTTTTTTCCTTCTCTTTGTCTCCGTAAGAGGCTGATTGTGAGAGGCAGCAGAGCTGCACTTTCCTACTTAGTGGTTGCTAGCCACATATGGCTGTTGAATGCTCGAAATGTGACTAGTCTGAATGGAAGTACTGTAAGTGTAAAATCACACTAAAGTTTGAAAACTTAGTATGGAAAATAATTTTTTATATTAATTACATCATCGTACTGATCATATCAGCTACATTGGTTATTGGTCATCTCGATTAAAGAACCATATTTTGAAAAATGGATGAAATAAAAATATATTTAAAATCAATTTTTACCTGTTTTTGTTGATGCAAAACAGTTAAAAAAATGTTTTAACTACGGGGTCTCACTATGTTACCCAGGGTGGTCTTGAACTCCTGGGCTCTAGTGATCCTCCTGCCTTGGCCTTCTGAGTAGCTGGGACCACAGGTGCATACCACGTTCCTTTTGCCTTTTTTTTTTTTTTTTTAAGTTGAAAGTTTCATTCTGTCTCCCAGGCTGGAGTGCAATGGCATAATCACAGCTCACTGCAGCCTCGATCTCCTGGGCTCAAGTGATCCTCCTGCTTCAGCCTTCCGAGTAGCTGGGACCACAGGTGCATGCCACCATACCCACCTAAGTTTTTGATTTTTTGCAGAGACAAGGTCTCATTATGTTGCCCAGGCTGGTCTTGAACTTCTGGGCTCAAGTAATCCTCCACCTCGGCTTCCCAAAATGCTGGGGTTACAGGCATGAGCCACTGTGCCTGGCCCTTTTGACTTTTCAATGTGGCTACTAGAACACTTAAAATTACATATATAGTTGGCCTTATAGTTCTATTGGACAGCATTGAGTCAAGAATAGGTGATTAAGGTCTGTGAGTCTAGAGCTCCAGGTTGCTTGGAGTCTCTGTTTTGCTTTGAATTGACTGCTGTAACCCTGAACAAATACTTACCCTGTGTATGCCTTGGCTTCCTCATCTGTAAATAGGGATAATGATTGTACCTACCTCACGGGGCTGTTGCGAAGCTGGTGAGAAATGTAAAGCGCTTAGAACAGTGCTTGTGAAGGAGTAAACATTCAGTACATATTAGCAATTATTTTTGTGCCAATCCTTTAGCCAGTATACAAAAAACTGACTCTGGATGTCTAATCATGGGAAAGAACTTGTAAGCAATAGGGAAATACATAGCCAAGAGAAACCCCTGGACTCAAGCCATCCTCCCATTTCAGCCTCCCAAGTAGCTGGAACTACAGATGCCCGCCACTGTGCCCGGCAGATTTTTCTTTTCAAGTCAGTTTACTTGATAGTGAAAGAAGGAAGGAAACAGGAGAGTTGTTGAATGAGTGAGTGTGTGCCTGTTTGGGAGTTGTGGCATGACTAGCCCATTGACTCATTCATAGAATATTAAAACTCAAAGAGACTCATCCATTTGCTCAACAAACATTTACTGGGCACCTACTGTGTTCAGGACACTCGTCCATTGAGCACATGACATTGAATAAAACAAGTTCTTGCTTTTGTGGAGCCTATAGTCTGGTGAGAAAGTCACAAGATAATAAGCAAACAAGAAATTCCAATTGTGGCAAGTGCTGTGAAGGAAATATAGAAGAGTATGCTATAAAACTGCACTGTTTGGTATAATAACCACAGGGCACGTATGACTGTTGAACACTTGAAACACTGGTTTGCATTGACATGCGCTATATGGATTGGATTTCAAAGATTTAGTATGAAAATAATGAATGTAAAATATCTCAATTTTTATATTAATTATGTTGAAATGATAATACTTAGGATATGCTAGGTTAAAAGATATTATTAAAATTAACATCATCTTTTAAAACATTTTTAATGTGGCTACTAGAAAACGTAGTTACATATGTGATTTGTTTGTGGCTTGCATGATATTTTCCTTTTTAAAATTTTAATTTCTTTTTGGCTTGCAGTATATTTTCATTGGACAGCAGTGCTGCAGAAAATAACCTCTGGGAGTGAGGGCAGGACCTATTACTTTAGCTAATGGGGTTGAGGAAGGATGTTGAACTGAAGATTGAGCAGGACAGTCATGTAAACGGGGCATAGTGATGGGGGCAGAGGGAGCTGCAAGTACAGACACAGGCTGTTGGCAGAAGTTGGTGCAGCCTCTTACGGCATCAGAAAGAGGATTGATGGAGCTGGAACATGGGGAGTGAGCAAGGAATAGTAGGTGACAAAGTGAGAGATGCAGACAGGTGATAGACTGTGGAGGCATTCCTTATAGGCCATGGTAGAGAACTTGACTTTTATCTTGAGAGATGTTATAGATAACTTCATTTAACCCTTGTGTTTATAGATAAAAATGAACTTCAGTCTGATAACGGGACGTACCTGAGGTTGTACGGGATGATTAGGCCAAGGTGATGGGCAGAGTTGAAAGCAGGATCCTGGGCTTCTTATTTTCAGTCTTGTCCATTCCCACACATACTGTTTATGCAGTTTCCTTTCTGTGAGATCCATGTCCACTCTGCTTTTTCCTAAAAGATGGTGCAGTCAGTATCTAGTCCTTAATCAAATGCACCCATCCCTTGTGGAAAGTCATGAGGATCAGATGAGTCTTTATGGATGCAAAAGCTCTTTGAAAACAGCAACATTTTATAGACATGAAAGGCGCTTTACTTACCTGCGTCATCTCTCTAAGTCTCATAACAGAGGAAGGTACTGCTCTTAATTCCTGTTGTACAGATGGGGAATTGAGGTGCAGTGCCTGCCATAAGGCACCCAGCCAAGTATTGAAGACTAAGTACCAGGTAGTCTTTGTCCACAGCTGGAACTCCCAACCACTGTGCTGCACTGCCCGCCTACTGGGTACCCCACTGGTCTCCAGCCCTCTTGGCATCAGGGACCAGTTTTGAGGCAGACAGTTTTTCCACAGACCACGGGGGAGGGGTGAGGTGAGGGGGGGATGGTTTCGGGATGATTTAAGTGCAATACATTTACTGTGTACTTTATTATTATTACATTGAAATATATGGTGAAATAATTATATAACGCACCATAATGCAGAATCAGTGGGAGCCCTGAGCTTGTTTTCCTGCAACTAGATGGTCCCATCTGGGGGTGATGGGAGGCAGTGACACCTGAAGACTGTTGCTTATGTCCATTTTACTTTGTAATCTGTTTTGGTGACTGTCACTGTGGAAAACCCTGCTTCACAAAGATAGGATGTTGGAAACGGAAGCAGGCTTTTCAGTGCTTCTGTGGCAATCTCAGGATATTCCTCCTTGACTTTAATCCAGAATATATGGAGATATATTCTAAAGTTGTCTCAAACATACTTTTAAGACCACTATCATTTGCAATCACAAGCAGTTGATCCTCTTCTAGCATAGACAAAGTCAATTCACCTGGCTTATTCACAAATGGGTCACGGATCCATTCCTTCCCACTTCGGGGGTCTTTTGTGGTTGGGAGGTAATGCTCAAACTCTAGAGAACACTGAGATAGGTGATCATGCACCAGCTGGGAGAGGGCCCTAGCTCAGTCTCTTTCAAAATCTCTGCTAATGTTTGAAACATGTAGAAAATCCCAATGATTTTTAGGCTTAGATTCTCATAAGGATCATGAACAACCTAGATCCCTCACGTGTGCAGTTCACCATAGAGTTCATGCTCCTATGAGAAACTAATGCCGCTGCTGATCAGACAGAAGGCGGAGGTCAGGTTGTAATGTGAGTAATGGGCAGCAGCTGTACATACAGCTGAAGCTTCACTCACTTGCCTGCCACTGAACTCCTGACCGGCCACAGGCTGATACGGGTCTGTGGCCTAGGAGTTGGAGACCCCTGGTATATCAGATGCTGAGTGCTTTCAGGTAAGTTTTCACCTTTAATTCTCAACATACCCTCTGAGATAGGTGGCATGCCTATTTTATAGAAGAGGGAACTCAAATTCGAAAGGTCAAGCTGTCAGCCCAAACTAAAACCAACTGAACACCCAAATGTAGTTTTCCATTTTGTTTTCATATTTAAAAAAACTTTTAGAATTGAAGTATAATACACATTTAGAAGATTGCATAAATCTTAAGAACCATTGATTATAGTTATCATTTACAAAGTAGACTCAATATGACCACTGAAGTTCATGTCTTGGGGACAATAAGGGAATTAAATTGTCTGATTTGAACATCCCCACCTCCAGAATTTGATTCAGTAAGTCTTCTGTGGGGCTTTAGATTTTACCTTTCTAACCAAATCTCAGGTGACACTGAGGCTGCTGGTCCCCTCATCTAAAATGTTCTCCATTCCTTTAAAATGTTTTCCCAGTTGGGACAGTTT